AGTGTCCCAACAACTGATTGGTGACATTGGGATCTTTGGATTTGGGACCGGTCAGTACCAAGCCTGTATGGGATCTTGAGCAACCGGGTGCAGGATTTTGACCCGGTCGTTCGAACTCTCAATCTCTTTGGTCACGGCCGAGCTGTATCTACCCGGTCTAATGCATCTCACCATTCTTTCTACCCGAGTAGGAAATAAGCCACCCGGGTGGGTTTTGACAGAGCATGCCCGGGCTATGTTTCAAAGTTGATCATGTGAGTCATTTCTTCTTTCACCCGGGTGAACAAGAGTTCTAGTCCTCCGAGTGAGCAAGGCAATCAATTCTTTCCATTCATGGCCTTGGCCATGCAAACGGGGGAACATATTCTTGAAAAAGTCCTTCGAGCCAAGTTAAGCGAATCCATCGTGACCCCGTCACTCACCCGAGTCTGAATCTTGATCGGGTGGGCAGTTTTGGTCTTTTTTATTTATTCTGGGTAGGTTGGTTTACCATGACCTTGCCCATGTAAAAAAGTGTTCAAGGAAAGATATCGAAGATCGGGGTAGGCCCGATGCTCCGAGTCCGACTGGGCTCTTTTTTTTTTGCTGAAACCGATGTGTAACCGGTGTACCCAATTCGATTGGGCTCAGGCTTGTTGGAAAATATGTGCAATACTGGTGTGAGACCAGTGTACCAGTTCGACTGGGTCACATATTATTTTTTTTATTTTTTTTATTTATACTGCACAAGACCGGTGTAAGACCAGTGTACCAGTTCGACTGGGTCGCAGTTTTTTTAATATGTGCAAGACTGGTGCGAGACCAGCGTACCAGGCCGGGCCTGTGTCACATACTTTTATTTTTTTTTAGTTCAATTCGATTGAAGTATGGTGTTCCACCCGGGTGGTTTTGTGATGCTCAATTCGATTGAACTCTGACCGGGCAGATGGGTCGGCAACCTTCCCCTACCGGTCTTACCATCTTTTCTGAAAAAGTATGGTGTTCCACCTGGGTGGTTTTGTGATGCTCAATTCGATTGAACTCTGACCGGGTAGATGGGTCGGCAACCTTCCCCTACCGGTCTTACCATCTTTTCTGAAAAAGTATGGTGTTCTGCCCGGGTGGTTTTGTAATGCTCAATTCGATTGAACATTGACTGGGCGGACGAGTTTGCAACCTTCCCCGACCGGTCTTACCATCTTTTCTGAAAAAGTATCAACTTTATTGAACATTGGCACGGTACATATCCGGTCTTAGCGGATGATAAACCGGTTGTTCAACACCACTTTCTTCTTTTCCTCCCTACGAACTCTCTTCAAGAGCCTCTCCAAAAGTTCTTCCGCTCTGTCCACCTGGTTGTTGGGTGGTTCAGCATGTGTGCGCATCGCCACTCTTAGCTGTCTTTCCGCCTGACCCTCCGCTCTAGGCACCCTGCTGTGTTGGGGATCATCACGAAGGCAAGGGTCAAAGCGCCCGGTCTGATCGGGTCGCCTACCACCTTCTAGCCTGTAGAATTTGCCTGGCTTGGGAACCTTCACCCACAACCGCTCTTTGGCCGGTCGGTTCTGGTTCCGCCCCTCATGTCCCAGCCTCTGGAACACTGACCGTCGTGAACCTTCCGGCTGGACGGCTTTGCCCTGCAGCTTTTTCTGGCCCTTGGGAATATCTGAGTCTTCATCCCTGCTGCGCACAGAGCGCACGCCCCCGCCGGGTGTGACCTGAGTGTGGAGCTTGTGGGATCTGCTCCTCCTAGACCAAGAAAGGCATGCCCTTTCCAGCTCCCCGGGTGGTTTTGTCGGGATGACCGACCGAGAGGGACTGGCCGGTTGAAATGACGGGGGATGCCTCAACATGTTAGGAAGAGATGTATTTTGAGCCAAAGCATGGGGATACATCCCAGGGATGAAAAGAGTAAACCCCCCGGGTTGTTGGAAAATGGGCATAAATTGTCCAATGTTTTGGAGGGCCTGATTCGGCGTTGTTTGAGTAGTGAAGGTGGTGATCATGGGGGAGAAAAGAGAAGGTAATGATGTGATTCCTCCCGAGATCAGGGTAACGCCCTCCGCCGGGTTGGAAGTTTGGGAAATGATGGATTCCATATTGTTGTTCGTCATGGCTTCTTTTTGTAAAGAGGCCCCACGGGCGGCGCCAATTTGATGGTGTAAATTACCACGCAAATACTAAGTGAAAGTAAAGGGAAGGGCTGTAGGTGGAAACACCTGTAACCCGGTTTGTTATTGATAATTCTAGGATTGTTACAATGTACAAGCCGTGTAGGTTCATAAAAACCTGCCTCACAAATGAGGCTTTTAGGGGTATTTATAATAAAAACAAGCATGTCAAGCACGTCCCGACGTTCCTGTTCTTCCGGTCGGTCAGTCTTCAAGTCATCCACCCCGGGTAGGCTTCAGGTCATCCACCCCGGGTAGGCTTCAGGTCATCCACCCGGGTGGTCTTCAAGCCATCCACCCCGGGCAGTCTTCAGGTCATCCACCCGGGCGGTCTTCCAGCCATCCACCCCGGGCGGTCTTCAAGCCTTCTCTGCGAATGAAGTCACGATCTCACATGTCTGACCT